AAAACTGTCTGAGCGCTTCCAAAATACCGCATATAAATCAATAGATATAAATATATAATATGTGTCATATGTGTTTATATATATTATATATATATGTAAATCATAAGCATCGTAGATATATCAGTATGCCTACAAATCAAGAAGAATCCTGAGCATTCTATACTTAGGTTACAACGGCGTTAATGCTCAGAAATTGAAATCCGCTTATTTGGGTGGATTATAGCCATGCAGATCCGAATTTTGTTGTGTCGTTGGGATTTGGTGAATTTAGTTGCATGTATGAACAAGCCACCAAGGTTTTAGGGGTTTGACCATGATCACAATCAAAAATATAGAGATCTACTATGGTTTGCCTGTATTGGTGGCGGGGGTGGCTGTGAACGATCAGTTGTATTGATTGGTGATGCACGTTTCCAAAAAGTGGTCTGAACCATTAAAGATGGTGGTATGGCACTATAATATCATTGATGAATTATGCTTGGTTGACTATTCAGTGACTATTTGGTACGAGATGATGCCCGACTTTGTTGGCTAGGATTGGCTCACTCAGGGTACCCCCCAGCAATTTCCTCCAAGCTTCAGCCGTAGCATTTTTGGCCAACCTCTGCGATCATCACTGGCGGCGAGCACGTCAGCACCTGGATGAAAGTGAATCTAGTTCTCATCACTAATCGTGAAGTGCATCCAGCGGCTAGTGGAATTTCATCCAGCCATGATCCATGTGTTAAACTCCTGGTTTGGATCCTGGTGTGGTGTCGAATCCAAACGGATTCGGGTATGATTTATTTCTTCAAGTGAAATTCTCCATGCGGGAGGTTTTGAATGATTCAAAAATTGCCTGGCTGAATTACGAAAAAATCACCAGCCTGAAAGAAACCAATTTGGGGATGCCACTTACTTGCCATAATCTACAAAAACGTTGTGCTGACGTCCTTACAATTCAGCCAGCTAGTATGTTTATTAATTCTAGTTGGTGAGGTGGACATTAATGATGTCCTGAAAATAAACACTATGTTGTATAGCACCCAAAAAGATTGAAAAGTTGGAAATTTGGAAGGAAGGAAATATGATTCCGGTTAGCTAACTGGGTACTTTCATGGGCTGTCTCCACCCTGGTATCCAGTATAAATGGAACGTTAATTGAACGTTAATTGAAATACAGTACCAATCCCGTATGTTAGGTGCGAGGAGATCCTACCAATATATGAAATTGGATATGTCTTGTTGTTTTGTATGGTTTCTATCCCAATATATTGGTATGTATCCCACCCCTGCAAAATATCCCTTGAGCTTCAGAAGTCAACTTCGCTTCCATGCAAAGCTTCGCTGCCAAGAGTTGCCTACATCCCTCGATGTGAAGCCCACTTGTTGCGAGAACAAATTGCCCGCCGGTAATCAAACGCGGGATTATTTCCAATTTGAATCCTCATTTCTAGTGGACCTTCCATTGCTGTGTTTGATTACCGGACGGCAAGTCTGTTTATCACAAGCCCCAGATGGGAGGGATGTTGCGTGGTTTGAAATTGACCGTTTAAGGTACCGAGCTACAACGGGATAAGAAATGGGGGCGCGCAAAAAGTAATATGGTTTTTCTAGAACAACAGTTTGGACAGCTTTTGATCCATATTCTCCTACCCAAGTTCTACACAGGCATTGCATAGAAGATGCACGTATGGATTGCATATGCCCTTCAACCTAGTAGTTGGGTCAAGGCTCAAGGGTTACCCCATTTTTTTTCTGTGGCAGCGGTCTATTATATCACCGGGTTCGTTCAATTGAAAACAATGTGTTTTATCAAACTATGGCGGTGTCCTGCGACGTCTTCCAGCCTGTTTTTCTTCTCCCAGCTGCACCAGCGCTTCATGGTACGCCGCATCCATGAGCTGGAAAGCGTTTTTCACCTGCTGCTTGTAGTATGATAAGCCCATCAAATCTCCAAACCAAGACATAAACCTAAGCTAAAATCCACACATGCAACCTGCCACTTGGGGTTCCCAAAACTACTTTGCTGCTGGGTTTGGTAGCTTTGGTTTCAAAAAAGAAAGCGTTTTCTCAGCATACTCAGAAGAAACCCGCCATTTTGACCGTGAAAAGCAGGTTTTACAATATGGTGGTATTTGGCTAGATGAAATTACGCGCCGCTATTTGGCACAACACATGCTTACCAAGTTGATATTTCACTGATTTATCATTTACCCCATGGGTCTTTTTGTTGGGGTTTACGACAAAGAATGTCTTTTTGGGAAAATAGATGGGCCTCTCTGCCATAGCATTTCGCATTATTGACTAAGAAAGGTTGCGAAGTAGGAGGACTGTGTCCTCTGTTTCTAGTACAACATGCAAGGAAAACCTGATCCGACATGACAACCATTTTTCACCATGCTTTAACCATATCACCAAATTATCACCATATCACATCTATGCTGTCACCAAAATGTCACCATATCAGTGGACTCCAATCCCGGTGGGAGACATGGTTTATACACCAGCAGTTGAATGGGTGGAATTCAACCACTCCTTGACTGGGGTTTCCTTGTAGAAATGTTGACAATGGATTTCAGTGTGGATTGACTTTTTGGGAATCAAATCACCTAGTATAACCCATTTTTACCAAGCATAATCCTCATAGCGGCACTGGATGAATCAATTCCCAAGGCTTAAGTTTATTTTTTGGAGTTGACTAAGGTTCACACTTCACCCCTCAGATTTCCACAACTTTGTTGATATAAGCCATACGTTGATGGTTAAACCGTGCAGTTCCAAAAAAGAACACAACGTCACCTCTGGGGCATCCGTCTTGGCTTTGTCAGGGTGAAGCAGAACTCGGCGTGAATGGTGCGAAATTCGCGCGCGTTGAAACCGTAGAGAAATGGTGAGGAGAACACCAACAAAGTAAGATCGGTTCAGAATTTGCAGTATATTTCTATGATGATGCAGACTGCAGGAATTCTTGGATGTTTTTTTGGAGTCTAACTTTTTTGACCAACAAAAAGGGAAGCCAAAAGCAAAACCAAGAATGCACGGCAACAAAGTTATGATGACGTAAAGCTAATTATCCTTGTTATTGAGATATGAACGGAATAGAATGGGATTTGTCGCAGGGTGTCATTTGATATATCTGCACACACATACTATCTATGTATGTATGTATGTATATATATATATATACACATTCAGAAATGATAGGTGGAATTGATGTAGTCAATCAGGTTGTAAAAGGGATGGAAACCCTCACAAGCAGGATATGCACAACCCGGCACGTGTCACACATCGTAGAGCCATTCCAAGAGGGATAATGATGATCAGGGATAGGATTTTGGGGTGCTCAATTCTCAGACACACCCAAATGTCTCAAGTCAGCAATCCTCTTCAAATTCTTTGCTTCGAGAGTCGGTTTAATTTTTTGCGCGCCCTTTTCAGCTCTTCTTTGCCTCGAGAAAAGCTGGAGAAAGGGTAATTACCTAGCTAATGCCAACCCCAGATTGATTAACCCTTGCGCTGTTGATCATTGGGAAAGTACCATATAATCAGCAAATTATCTGCATTTCGGGGCAACCCCTCCAGTGAATCAACTGGGGGTTATTGCTTAATCCAGGGTTGGCAATAATGGAGTTTACCGGATAGATTTTGGTTCATAACCCATGAACCGAACCCATCTTAACTAATTAAGAGTTCCCACTCACACCATTTTCCACGGACAAGCGTCAAAAAAGTCATGCTCGACCCAAAACCAATTGTTTTCGATGCCACCTTTCCCCATACTCGTTAGACCAGCAGCTGATGAAAACAATCTAAAGAGATGTGGATTTGATTGTGCCCCAATGGATCGATACGGATCCGCATTCTTAGGACATCCTAATTTTAATGGTGAATCCAGCAGCTCAGCATTAAAACTGTGCACGTCTTGGGGGCGTTGGGGTCTTTAATGGGCATTTGCAGCATCTTTATATCTAAATGCCCAAGGACCTACCACTGCAGGAAACCATGTTCAAGTTCAAGTGACGTTTGGGGCTTGAAAGCCTCGTTTCAGCCATCTGGGTCGTTTATCATCGATCCCTTTGTTAATCAACACCTTCCCAGAAAGAATGATTGGTGGAGTACAGTTTGAACCTGTTAATAGTAGGCAAACTATCATCAGAGGGATGAGATTCTATGACATATCCCCTCGTGTCAAACATGGCAATGGAACACCCCACATCTATACATGTTTGAAGATAATTGTCCCGTTATTACCACCATTTTCATCAAAGATTTCCCACCTAGCCATATGTTTGATGCCACCGGAAGGTATCCTTAAAAGCTGAGAATCGAGGCCATAGCCCCGCACATCGGTTGTTGAACCACAAGGTCTATCCAGAATAGGATAGAAAAGGAAATCTCATGATGGTGGCTATTGTCTAACCCATTCGCAACCAGCTCAAATGTTGGGGCATCATGAGCTTTAATGTGGCATGATCTGGTGCGATCAGCTGAGAAGTCGCTTGGATGACTCAACCTGGGTGTTAGCATAGGGGTACCCCCGCAAAATTGCATTCTTTTATGTCATGCCTTATTGCTAGTTAAAAGTCCCCCAATTAAGACCTATGTTTTGCGGTTTTGCTCTGATTAATTGAAGTCACCACCTCAAAATGGGGCGCCGTCTGCTGCTGCTGCGGTTCTTTCTTTAATTAGGGTGAACCACGAATCTTACAAAAGTGCAATTTCCGAAATCTAGTTTACAGGTATCTCCTGCTCACTCTATTGGCGAGAATTGATCCCTATGAATAAGAACTGACCCTGTTGCGGGACTCCTGTTATTCATTTGAAAGAGAAAATGCTTGTGTCAATTAAGAGAACTTCGCGCTTGCTATCAGGCATTTCCTTGGAAATGATTGCTCCAGCTCTTGTTCCTGATGATTTGCCTGTCGAATTTTGGGCTTCTAACTTTTGGAAACTCCCTCCAACAACAAAAAGAGGTCACGGTGATTATGGATTAGATTCCCAGGCTTCCACCAAGTTTCTCTTTGCATTTCCAAAGATCTCGAGGATGCGATTCTCCTCAGACCGGCGATTGCTCTCAGAACGGCAAGGCGGGCACCCAGGATACGCAAAAGACCCTGGGAAGATTCTGCTGATAGCAAAACAAGATCATCAGTCCTTGGCAGTGGCTCCTACGTTGACTTTACTACCAGTATCATACAACCCTACAACCCCAGAATGAAGCTCACTTTTGCAAGGCTTTTGATCCAGGATTTGTAAGTACGAGACTCGTTCACATTAAAGTCCGGATCTCTGAATTTAATTGAATTTAGGTACAGTACCTGCAATGCCCATTGGTCCAAGTCACTTCTGCCAAGCTAATGACGCGCTTGGCTTCCGAAAGGACAGTTGACCCTTTGCTGCCCTCAGGCTGCAGGGCAGCGGCCTCGCCCTGACCCTCCTGGCTTGGCTGGGCCGCCTGGGCCTCGGCCTGGGCGGCCTCGGCAGCGCCGGCCCAACCGGCTGCTTGAGCTGCTTCTAGTGCTTCTGCTGCCTGCAAAGCAGCACACCGGCAACTGCGAAGCTCCAGCAATGCTGCAACTTGGATGAATCAAACGAGTCAGCAGAACGAGGGTGTCCTCCTGTGGGGGCAGCGGTGGCTGCATCGCGAACCTCCACCATGGCAAAGTCTTGGAACGCAGAAATTGATTCTCTATAACAGTCACAAGAAAACACACGCCTTCACCAAAGTGGCCGATTTTGTTTCAAGGAAGTTGCTCACTAGTGACCATGGGATGGTGTAGTCAGAATTGGTTTGTTTCCATGACAGTGCTGGACCCCTGTACATTTACTTAATTTACAGGTGGAGTGGTTCTCCACCAATCTCTGTTTCAATGTGGGGGGAAACGTATGGAAAATCATGGGATGGCGAGCGGCTAAATCATTATCACTGCAGCCTCCATAATCCCTCAGGAGTTCTATAGATCCTCCTCACTTGCAGAATCACCCGTTTCACGGCACCAAAGAGTTCGTTTCGATGCTCTGAAGAGTGGATTACATCAGATACAGAAAAACATACATGGCTACTCAGACTTGGATACAAGAGAATCCCTGCATGTGTGATTTGATCAATCCCTAAATCGTACTCTCAAATATGTGGCATCATAAACTACCAAGCTTGTGTGACATTCAACCCAAGGCTGCTTTGTGGAGCATGAAATGGCTACATTTTTTCCAGGCCTATGATTCAAACCTGCTTATGATAGGGTTTTATGATATGTCTTCATTGAACATCACCGAAAGTGGAGAGTTCCCAACTACTCTTAAGGCCCCTCTTAATCGATTTCCATGAATGAAGGATTTGACGGTTGCCGCATGAGCTGCATCCAGGAGGCATGTCGGATGCCTTCTCAGCTGGTTGCTCCTATTTCGGCTGGCATGTGATTGCCAATCGATACAGCATCACTAAATATCACTAAGGTTGGTGAAATTGCATTACCCTTATTTATCTCCATAGTCGTAGTGGTTGATTTTATACCCCCACACCAATCCCAATCTCCAATATATCACCTACATCATTATATCCCCATTGTATCCCCACTATCCCACCATTTAACCAGAGTCTAGTCGCATTTAAAAAATCATTATTGATCATTACATTACAAAACAGCAATCACTATTGAGGCCCCATCCTCTGGCAATCCAAACTGGCCGGCTGGATCATCAATCCTCCATTCAGTTCGATGATTTCGCACTAAATCCTTCATTTGTAGAGGGCAACGAAAACCAACAGTGGGAGGGTCCTCCAAGAGTCTTGTCATCAAACATGGCTGCTTGAAACGTTACACCCTCAAAGTAGGATATGCTACGGGCTATGTGATAAATGCGTCCCTATGACATGTCGCAAAAATGACCCACAAAAACTCTCTGACATGACCCTCACGGCACGTACATTCTGGTATGACAAAAGTGCTTTGTGCAGAGCATATGCCTCAGTTTTGTAGTGGTCATGTTAAGGAGAAGTCAACATGTCAACATTAAATCCAATATTTCTCCATATCATTTTATGTCGTTGAACCCGCATTAAACCATATTGATTATCCCATTAAACCCATAACCCAATTTTCAGCTCAACAACTTCTCACCCCGCTGTCCATATCCAGCCAGTCGCGTTCGTATTCCTGGTTCAGGGGGCACTCCAGGACCCTAAATCTGTCATCCCGAAACAACCTTTCTTGGCCAAAAATCTGCCCGCACCGAAGGTGCTGAGCTTAATTTTTTGGGGCACATCCGGAAGCAACTGCAATATCTTTTTGTAAGCTTTGGCTTAGGGGGGGGCAGTTTTGCTCCAGAATCGTCGGTCTTTCAACGTTTTTCAAACGTCATGAAATTCGCGAAGCTTCCAGGTCCAACACAAGTCCGAAATTGCAAAAACATCGACCATATAGGCTCAACATGGGCTCAACATAGGCGCAACGTTGGCTCAACATGGATGCCAATGGTCCAACATCGGCTCAATGTAGCCCCACGCGTGGCCAATTTTGGCCCTTGTTGCTGCATTCTTACTTTACTCTATAGTTCACTCGTAAAACAACGCAGCAGCAATCTCCATCTCCTCACCGAAGCAAACCAGTGCGGGGAGCGACCAGAATAGATTTACTTTAGCCAAACTTTCGCGAATTCTATGCTTAACTGTTGCGGGGATACAGCAACCCGCTTTCTTGGTGCTGGGAAGTATTCGATCAGCATGGAAATGGTTCTCTTCGAGATTAGATCATTAGAGCCTTGTGGGGTACGCGCTTACCCAGACACCTGAACTTTCCACAAGATCACTCTGCAAGTAAATTCCACGCTAGAAACATGATGATTTCTTTAGCGAGAAAAAACTAAGGACAAAAAAACGTGTGGGATGTGTTTGAAACAACGGTGGCCATCGTGATGCACAATCCCTACAAGGACCTTTAGATCCATTCCCACATGGTTTGTTCACCTCACCTGTCCGACCTGTCCAAACCCGGCCTGCTCAATGAGGGGCTTGAACGAAGCTGAGACCTTGCCTCAGCACAAACCCCAGACTGGATCTCAGTATGAGGACTGCTGTCTGACAATTGTGCAAACATAATTCTCCCCCCTTGGCGATAAATCAGGTTTCCCTGTATACCCGCTCTTCGGGCAAACAACGTAAGATCCACAAAATGATCTCAATCCCCGTGTCCAGATGGTTTTGTAGCCGGTTATATCATATTATATCCCCATGGTATGGGTGTTTCAACATACCCCCATTGAATGGGGAAAATGACGCTTGAAACTCCCCTGTTTCGCCCTTGGGAGGCCGGACATCCGTCCACCTGTAATGTGCCCAAGGGCTGGTGCTCAGCTTCTGCAACTAGAAATGAGGGATTTATCCCAATTTATAGCCATTAAAACATGAGGAAATGATGGATTTACCGATTTCCTAAGTTATAGGAATAGTTTTGCAGTTATAGCAATTCTATTTAGATGGGGAATGGGACCAGAAACTCCCCCACATTGAAAGTATGCCTGAAAAAAACTTTTGTTTCAGTAGGTATGACTTCCCATGACTGATGGCTGACCCACAGCAGATCTCTGAGTCTCCCAACCGAGGTAACCTCAACTTGCTGACACTGGTAGAGCTCCAACTGGCCACAGGGATGACTGCTGGCCACGGAAGGATATTTCTCTATGTATCAATGGCTACAGTAGTATCATGAAGTACAATCCATATCATCGAATGCTCATCCCACTACTATGACTATGAGATCATAGGCGCGATAAGAAATAGTACTGCCACTTGTTCATGTGAGTGGGACCAAATAAGAACATGTGAACCATGAAAACTACCCCTATCCCATCGCATTATCCTGTTGGTTGACGATGATCCCCAATAAACCAGGTGGTACAACCCCCCTGTGAGAACCACTCAATGCATGACATCTGCCACGGTTGTTCCCATCAGGGTCATCCCACAGATCCGCCATCCCTGTCTCGAGGCAAATTGGGTTCCAACTGGCTGGGAATTGTAACTCACATCCCAACTGGCTAAATGATGCTAAATCGGCCGTGTAATCGATGTCCAAAAAAGGAGACCACACAATCCACAAGACTCAATATATCTCGGAATCTTAGTAACAACCTTCAAGAATAGGGGGAATATGTAGCCTCTCAAATCATAGATGTGGCTTTGACTGAAAAATAAGGGTAGTACGTAGGTACGACAAAGTCATACAGGGCAGATTCCATTTGGTTAACATCCCCCGCCGCACCCCCGCACCGTGGAGGTGAAAGAGTCCTGCAGGTGCAACTGCACATCACCTGAGGCCGGGTGTCAAATTTTGTCCAGCTGAATATAAGGTTCCAACGAAAGTTGGGGGTGATGCAACTAAAATAACTAAAAAGTTGAGTTTCAAGATGTTTCAAGTTTCAAATTTTGAAGGTTTAAGCAAGAGAATGTGAGTTTCTGGCCTGAAATTTCACAAATTTCACTTCACCACCAAAAGCGTAGGTATTTCACACCAAAGCTGGCTGATTCAATGGCAAATGACCGGACATGTGCGGTCACAATTTCTGGTACTCATGCTGGATCAAGGTCATGGATTGGAGATTTCAAGATCCCCTGCAGATTGGGTCTTGGGTCATTTCTTAACTTTGATGGTAACACCTGGATCGCAAATCTGAGCATTGGCGCTGCAGAAGTCCAACGTGAGTTTCAACGCCTGAAGCTGCGAGGCCGACTTTTGGATTCCTCAGCTGGTTGGGACCCCGAAAATTCCCCAAAAATCAGCCACTGATACAAGATCAACAAGGGGCTTTGGCAGCCACGTCTTGACACACAAAAAACATCAAACCGAGGAAGTCGGCCACCTGACCCGTGGCACCCGTGGCCGCCGTGGCTCAACCTCTGTGCGAAGGCTGGGAGACCACACGCTGGGCACTACATAGTTCACACCTGCGCAGGGTATCACCGGTATCACTCCACAACTGTCACTGCCCCACGATCTTTGGTTTCAACTTTCAACGCTCCCAAAGGTGTCCTCAAATATGGCCAGATTCCCAATCACCAGTTCGAAGTGGGAGTAGTTCCCTCCAGTTCTCAGCCGCATTGTATAACTTGTTTGGTTGTTTCAAGATTGTTCAACCCATCTCAAGAAAATGCCGATTGGGATCATCTGATCATCCTCCAACAAACATTGGATGGCAAAAGAGAAAATATAGAAAATACATGAAAATACCGTAGATGTTAGTATTGCATGTTGAAACATGTTGAAACATGTTGAAACCACCAAGATCCACCAAACAAATTTGAGGCGTTTCCCTTTCCACTTCTCTCCGACAAGGCCATCAATCACCTGCCTCTACAGGCATGGAGCCGAATGGCCTAAGCTTCCGATCTAATCTGCTTCAGTGATGATGTACTTGTTTGTAGTTGAGCCTGACTCATCCCCGTAAATCGTGATTAAGGGTGTTGGTAATTTTTGTTATTTTCAAGTGGGGAATGGAAATCAAATATACAAACAAACAGCTTGTGATCTGCAATGAATTGGGGGTAGGAATCAACACTTACGACCCCTAACCTCACTGGTTTCAGTGATTCTTAGTCTTCAAACATCGAATTATCAGCGCTCCCACCTTTTGGTACCCTCATCGTTTCTTTCAACCCAAGAACTTCTTGGGATAAGCCAGAACCAACATGAACCAACTTGGACCATGGAATCACCATCCATAGTTCTGGTTTACAGCCCGGGCCACCGTACCTCTCCCTGGTACTCAGAAAGGTCAACAGTCCCATCCTGCACGGCATCTGGTGCTGAGGTGCTGATTCATCTGATTCTGTAAATCAGCCAGCTGTTTCCAACAAGAATAGATGGCTGCAAAGTCGGCATCCGTGGATGTGCTCCATCGTTCTCCAGATTGTGGGAGCTGGGATGGGGGAACTGGGGTCATACCCAATTCTAACAGCATCTCAGAACCCAAAAATCATGGAGGTTTCACATACATAAGTAACATGACTTCTTGATTTATCTTCCAAACCTACGTAGTTTTAACGAGTTCAATGAGAGATCTCAGGTGCTTGTTTGTCTTCTCTGGCTTGTGTTTGGGGTTTCGAACCTGCGACGGACACGACTCTTTGGTGTGTGTCAAATTCACCTCGCCCTCCAGTCGCCAAACCTCATGCAGCATTACAGCAATGTGTCTTTCGGGGAAGCTCAGCAGGGAACGACGTGTCGGACAATTGAATTAATTTTATATGATGATATACTACGTGTCTGTACGTTGACACCCAGTGTAACTTGCAAAAACATCGGAGGACGTGCACCAGAAGCCGTGTGAGTTGGGGACAGGGTCTGTGTCGGCCGCGGTGAGTCGGCCGGCGGGGTGGGCGTGTCGGCCGCGGCTGGGTGTGCTTGTCGGCCGGCGCCAAGTGCCGTGTCGGCCGGCGCCAAGAACCGTGTCGGCCGGCGCGAAGTACCGTGTCGGCCGCCGAGGGGCTGTGTCGGACGGCGGCGCCTGAGTCGGCCGCGGGGCTTCTGTGTCGGCCGCCGAGGGGCGGCGCGTGCAGGGCTTCCACAAAGAAGGAAAAAAGATCCCAGCGCTAACTTAGCAAACTAAGGTCTGTGTGTCGAAATCTGTGTCGGCCGCGGGGCTTCTGTGTCGGCCGCGGAGGGGCTGTGTCGGACGGCGGCGCCTGCATGGGGCAGCGCGTGCAAGGCTTCCACAAAGTAGGAGAAAAGATCCCAGCGCTAACTTTGCAAACTACTTGGGACCCTCTTTGAGTTAGGTGACTTATAAGTGCAGGGTAAGTGTTTCCTACCTATGTTAAGTCAGGGCTAAGTGGTAAGATAACTGGCTAAGTGGTAGCTAAGTGGTATCATTTTTTGATGATTTAGACGTGATTTAGGTATAGTTATAAGTGGAAGCTACGGTAACTACATTTAAATATACGGATTTTAAAACATATGAACAGGTATTTTAGACTACCTCCGTGAAGGTTTTCCTTGGCCCGCCCAGCCATTTAAACATACGGAATCCAATTCATTTAAACATACTGCAACTACATTTAAATATACGAACTGGTATTTCATACTACCTCCGGGGCCTTGCGGTCTGGCCCGCCCTCCACATATTTAAATGTCGTTACCGTAAGTTAACATGTATGATTCGA